AAAATAAGCACAGTAATCATTCACTACAGAAGAAATTGAGGCTAATGGAATCACCCTAATATTGCAAAATAAATAAATACCTGTGTTGTTGCTAATCAAGTCCCACCCGCAAAAGGTAAAAGCCCAGTTTACGAAATTCAGCCATATTGCATGCCCTGGGTTGGAACTCAACATGTGGTATGCTCCTGCTAGAGGAATGCAGGTATGAGTTTCTGATTGTTTCTTCTCTGAAGGAAAACACTGTAGGGTTTGGGGATCCTCCACCATAACAGTATGGGAAGTGATGCAGAAGCAGGTGATGCAGAGGCATCAGAAATACACCCCCCACTTTCAAACAGCAGTCTGTGCTGGATCCTTAGTCACTTGCACAAAGGTGCCCGTCCATTGGTGCAAGGGACACATGGTGTACAACCCTCTGAATGTACTATGCTTACCAAGGAAAGAAGTTACCAAAGGAGTTACCGGGGAAAAGCAGGAGAGGGCTGTTGTGTTTATATTTGGTTTTGGGGGCTTCCCCTAAGCACCTGGTTGGCCACTGCGAGAACAGGATACTGAACTGGAAAGGGCTTTTGGTCTGGTCCAGCTTGAAAGTTCTTATGTTCACATCAGCCAAAGAGGACCCTTTCTTTGCACCAGAACCACAAAGCTGGTCAGGTGCATTATTCAAAGTTTACGGACCAGGTTTTGTCAGATGAGAAATTAAGAACTCTGCTCTTGCTTAAAAGAAACAGTCAGGTTTGGTCTGTACAGTGGTACCTCGGGTTACAGACGCTTCAGGTTACATACGCTTCAGGGTACAGACTCCTCTAACCCAGAAATATTACCTTGGTTAAGAACTTTGCTTCAGGATGAGAACAGAAATCGTGCTCCGGCAGCGAGGCAGCAGGAGGCCCCATTAGCTAAAGTGGTGCTTCAGGTTAAGAACAGTTTCAGGTTAAGAACAGACCTCCAGAACGAATTAAGTACTTAACCCGAGGTACCACTGTACTGTGTTTCCCCCCACACTTGTATGTTTTAGGGCGCAACTTTCACAAGATTGAATTTAGCTGAACTGTTAAGATGTAACATCCCCTCTACCCATGCACTTTTTATGTTATGTTCGTTTTAAAGACACAAAGTAATCAAATCTAACCTTCCAACAGGCCCATGAGAAACTCCAAAACAAGGCTGTTGGGAAGTAGCCTTTCATGTTGCAATAAATTAACAACGAGGCATAGCAGCCTAATTTCCCTTGCCTTCCCATCCCTTGCAGCAAGATCCACAACACCCTTGAGTGGACCAAGAGAATGACAACCACAACACAGGCAGTCACACAACAGCCAATAATCAGGATAAAAAATCCACTGCTCCTTATGCTGAATGAATTGCTTTTGGTATGTGTTAATAAGCGCGATATGGCTTGAGAAAATGGCTACAGAATGTAGAGTTTTCAGAGCTAGGATAATGTTTCTGCATATTGTGCTAATTAAGTAATTTGGACTTTGGGAATATATTACCTAGGTCCTAGGGCATCCCTAGAATGGGTGTTGAACTTTTAAAAAGGGGGTTTATTCTGATGATACCAATGTAGTGAAATGATGCCATGCATACCTGTGTGATTTTTCATTTGGGCTTTAAGAAAACTCAGCTCCACAGATTGTTCTTCCTAACTTACAGAGGGATGGAACCAAGGCCAGATTCTTTCTTCACATTCATAAGCTTGCTTCATGCTCATAAATAAACATTATTAACAGCCCCTTGGCTACATCACATACTTATTTTGGGTCTCGTTTCACTTCTGAAACTGGCTGTTTTAATTATTTGCCCAGTGGAATGGAATGAAAATATGCTGTGGAAAATCAATGAGGAAAAGGCGACTGGGGGCAGGGAGGACGCATCTCTTGGAAATCTAGCTCTCAAACAGGCCTTTCTCTGTAGTGGCGAGATCTGCCCCTCTCTGCCTTAGCTCAGCGAAGCAGTCTTTACTGCTGCAGAACAAAAATCATATAATTCAGCAGCAGCCTTTCCTTTCAACTCACCCAGCTGCATGTGAAATACAACTTTTCCTGGCAGCTTTCAAGTCAATACCTCACTTACTTAAATCAGTGCTGTTATATCACCGCATGCCTGCAATCTCCTAAGTGGTGAAACATGACTGCTAAATAATATTTCACTTTAACTGTATTAGGTACAACGCAAGCCCATCCTCAGCAAGTGATATGTTTTAAAACACAGACAGATAGGCACACAGGCATCATGCCATTTCTCTCTTTCAATATTAATACTCATCATTTTTAAAACAAAGCACAATTGACAACATCTGTTGTTTCAAGCTTTTTTTAAAAAAAACTCACTGCAGTTTACTGGGGGAAAGTCCACAAACTTTTCCATTTTGTGAGATTTTTAAAACTGAGCTATACGTTTTGATTTTAAAATGTTCTCTCTTATACAGTGAACAGATTTTTTTTCAAAGCAGTTGCCAACTGCCCAGCAACAGCAGCCTATGTTTGCACTCACTATTTTAGGCTACATCACATGTCAATTACATAACCTTGTTTTACTGCTCTTGAACTGGTTGGAACAACCCGGGAAACAGATTAGGGCAGTCCCTCGAAATTCTGCAATGCAAATTCAACTACATGCCCAAATTCCTACCACTTAATAAAATATTACACCTATGTTCAGTTTCTCTCCATAACTGGTTACTTATTATTAGAGCAAACTAAAGCTTGTGATAATTAACTTCCCCAATTCTGTTCAAACCAGTGCATTCTGACTATGCAGTAGCAACAGTAAACTAATAAATAATGGCCTGCATTGCTCAGGTGTATGTACAGTAATTTAATTAATTGTAATTTACAAAAAGTAGATCAAGGGTGTGCCAGAAGCTTGCAAAGTTTTTTTTTTTTTTTGAGGGGAGGGGGAGGGGTTGGGAATTACTGAGTTGCAGCACACAGATTTAAAGGAATCAGAGCCTGCACAGCTGTGTCATGAACAAATGTAAATTTCCAGAGGTCTGTTCAAGAAAAAAAGAGAAGAAATCAAGAAAAAAATAGCAAGATGTGATCACACACACTCTCTCACACACACACTTGCAAATGTCTCTCTGTGTGTATACAAGCATGCACACACAAACCAATTTTCATACTCCCATAATTTAAAGTCTGTCTCCATGCAATGTATTTTCATAATCAACATTCTCCCTGCACACTGATCATTTTCACTGTGCTAGCATAGGACTCAGTACACCTGAGCACTGAACTCTCAGGTCACAGGTAGTCTAATTCAAGGTTAACCCATTTATTCTTTTCCCAGCTTTGTCACAGCACCTTCCATATTCTTTGCCCCATTTCTCGGCTATTGGATTAACCTCTCTTGGAATTATCAGCCATTTGCTTTTCCTCTTGTCCTGAGAAGCCATCCTTTTCTGGTGAGATGCTTAGTCTCCTGTTCCAAAGATGACTTAAGACTGCTGATTTACCTTCAGGGGGCCCTGATCCTGCCTGGGATGCATGTGCCTCTGCCACCCAGCTCCAGAGTGACAGATTATCATCGTGACCACGGCATTCCTAAACAAGAGCCCACCTGGTATTGTAGAAGGAAATTACATTCATAATCATTAGTTATTTTTATAAACAAAGGGGAGCATCAGCAACAATATGGCCATAACCAGAAACAACTTCATGTTGCTAAACAAGCTAAAAAAATAATTAAATCAAGAGGCCTGAGGACCCTAGAGAAAATACATGGCACAGTGTACCTGAGGATTATTTCATTGCATATTTTAACGACCAGCATTAATGATTAAAGGTTTTAATGGGATTGTTTTATGGTGTATTTTATAATGTGTAATTTTAAAAAATATTTTGTAAATCACTTAAAAGACTATTTTGGCATTAAGCGGTAAATTAATTAACCAACCAACAACTACACCTATTTTGAGTCATCAAGGCACAAGGTTCACATCATCTGAGTAAACACGCCAGGCTCCAAAAACCTGAACCCTCACACAGTGTCTCATGCACCTATGCTCACAAGTTAATTCCAGAGTGTGTATACGTATGCAACTTTAATATACTTCCCCCCTGCATTAAAACCATGTGATAATATTCCCCCCCTTCAGTTCAATCAACTACTTTGTCATTCCTTTTAAGGTTATTTTCTTTCTAAAATGGTTGAGCACAATTTACCTAGGGCTTGCACAAGTTTCTGGTGGATTATACCATTTATTTCAGCTTTCTTTACTGACCTAGATTGCTTCTACTACTTATTTTATCTTCAGTGTTCTTTCTCCTTTTTTTATCCATTATCTCTGCTTCTCTCTTATTCTAACTTTCGCTTTAGTCTGAATATCTCTGCTGTTTCCTCCTTCCATATCGTGGCTTCTATTATTTTGCTGACTAAATGGAACTATTCTCAAGTAAGTGGACTGGGAACTGCAGCCAAAGTATCTTTATCAACGATGGAGAGATCAGTTGCTCATTACAGTACTTTAATTCCCCATTTCATAATTTTTTCTACTCCTCACCTTTCTGTTGAAGCACATGTTAAAATAACACAATTAAAAGTAGAAAAGCAAATGTTTAAGCAAGGCACAAAAGGACTATGGCTCATTTTCCCAAGTAAATTAGATATTTCATAATAATTAGTATGCACATTGACTTCTCATCTTCAGTCTTCCAACTCTCTATACCATCTAGAGTTTCCACTTTCATTTTCAGAAACTATCTTCTCCCCAAGATACTATTTCTGCAAATATTCTTTTATAAAAGCGGCATTGTCTAATATTACTACAAAGTGGTTTAACATGATATTATCTGGCTTCTTTTCTAATTGCATCCCAAGGGCGGTTCAAAAGTGTACACTCGCAACATTGGTGTAGCATCTCTACAAAGAGTATTAAGATAGGGAGGTGTTTCCCACCTTAGTTCTATGTGTACATACACACAGAGGTACATGTACAGGCAGAACAAGAGACCATCAGGCATATTCATTCATTCATTCAATAAAATTTATACAGCTGGAGATGACGAGGACTGAACCTGGGACCGTCTGCATGCAAAGCAGATGTTCTACCATTGAGCTACAGCTCTTCCTATTGATGAAGGGAAGTACAAATGCATAAAACAAGCAAATAAATAATAAGCACTGGGAGATATATGCACATCTCCAATATGCCCATCCAGCTCTCTTTCACCACATTCTAAGCATGAATAAAATGTCCCGGGCAAAGAGGACTAGCTCAATAGGGTTCAACCATCATTGGCTCAAAACCCTTAGTCTCATAGATCTCTCCTATTCTTCATTTAGAAAGATGCACCAACCACTTGAACCAAATTCTATTTTGAAGTTAGTTATTGCAAGAAAAAATGACACATAATTTGCACCTATCTAAGGTACAGAAACATGCTGATCATTTCTATTCAGTATGGTGGGATTTTATTTCATATAATTTTGTTTTCACAAAGAAAGATATGTAATGAGAACACCAGGCAAGCCTCCATGGAGACAGCATTCCACAAACAGTGAATCATCACAGACATGGCCCGCTCTCGTGCTGCCATGCTCCAGACCTCTTGTGGAGCGGGCACATGAAGAAGGGCCTCAGATGATGAGCGCAGGGCCCAGGGCAGGCAATATGAGGAGGGGCTGTCCTTGAGGTATTGCAGCCCTGAACTGCTTAAGGCTTTATAGGTCAAAACAGGTGCTCTGAATTAGGCCTGGAAGCTAATTGGCAGCCAGTTCCAAAAAAACTCAATTAAATGGATACCGAAGTAATTATGCATATAAGCAAGAAAGTTCAGTACTTCAGTTCTCCGATATGGTTAATATATTGAAACTGACAATACTACACAACCACTTTACACTAATTAACACTCCTGTGTGCTTTAGAAGATGTAACATAGCATTATCTATTCCCACTGGGAAGATGTGAAAACCAATGAGAGGCAGTATGCTAGGAAGGGGGAAAAACATTGTTTCCCTCCATTACATTCAGCAAAAGGAACCAATAACTTAATATGCTTTCATAGGGCCAGCATATGTCGGATTTATAGATTCACATATCTTTTATCTTTAGTGGATATTCCTATTTCTTTTCTTCTTTGGCTGCCCCTGCCCTGTTGCCTCTTTCACCTCTTCTCATAGACAAGTTCAAATATGCCTGTGAAGCTCAAAATGCTTGTGCACTTTCAGCTACAAAGATTTTTCCTATATTCCCTTCAAAAGGGAAGTGAAGGAAGAAAGAAGGCGATACTCTGAGCTAAATGAACAGAACTGCTAGAATAATTTGTACAAATACTGAAGGGGAGGCAATTTATGTTAACAGTGAATGTTTGATAAACAGGATATGTTAAACTTTAACAAAACAAAATAAGAAATTTTCAATTAAAAGGCATTGCCTCTCCTGCTTTATCTTTCATAGATCATACTGCCCATTCCATTATCAGATTACAACAAACACATGATTGTTCTATATCTCTCTTCTAATATGTATTTGCCGCCTTCTTCCTTCCTTTGCTCCCTCCCTCCTATTTTCTACAATTATGCTGTTACAGTATTCTCAGCAGGCCTTGTAGATGTTTTTCCTTCTTTTGCATGTGTCTTTCAACATGCTCCAAATATTCATTTCCCCTCTGTTTCTTTTGTGTAGATTATGAAACAATTATACTTAAACAGTGCCACTAAAATACTCCGGTAAATCCATCTATCTGCTGATCTAGTGATTTAAGATGGATGATTTTTTACAGGTTGCCAATAATGTAATAATTGGAGGCACATCAACTATATTGGGGGTTCAAAATGCATATAAAAAAAGGAAGCCTTATTATGCTGAAGGTGACTTTCAAAGCATGTCTTTAACTTTGCTTCAAGTCCTAATGAAGCCTAAAAAAGGACTCTGTTTATTTAGGGTAACTTTATCAGGAAGATAAATGCTGGTTTTATCTTGTTCCTTTGGATGGTTCAAGAGATACAGGAAGTTATTTGTAGTGTTTCTAGCATACATTCGTCAGACCATTTAAATTTTAAAAGTCTACACTGAATTCCAAAATGGGAGGTCTATTTGCAATTCAACAGCAGCTCTATCACGGTGGCCTCAATGTATTTCATAGGCTGCCTCCATAGATACAGGTGCATTGGATGAGCTCCACCGCAATGGGATTTCTTAAATGGATGGAAGAACTTTTGTTGCACCCAAGAATGCATACAGAAATGCATCTTGCTTTGAGGCAAACAGGGAGCTTCTTGTGAGCGAACACTGTGAGTGAACTCAGAAGCAACCAGGTGGAGAAGGAAGGTTTCAATTCAACAACATAATTCAGCAGACTTAATGAGAAGCAAAATGGGAAAGCAAAGCAAAGTTTGGTATTCAGGGCCTCATTTCAAGAGTGCTAGATGTTTAACATCATATAGAAATGGTCACACTCTTTGGACAAGTATATTCAGCAGGACTACCACCCTGAGCTTCCTTCTCATCACCATCAGAAGCATATACTGAAAGAGGAGGGAACAACAATTTACCATAGTCTATCTTAGAGTGGTCCAATTTTTCATACCAGTTGGACTGCAAGAGTATTTTGACATGGAATCCATGGGCTGCACACTGCCTTGTTGCATGGGGGGCAGGGAGTGAGACCCAAATTTGGTGCCCGTCCACCCTAGCTCTCATGCTGCTTTCCCAAAGCTGAGTAAGTGAGGTACAGGGCTTTGGAAAGGAGGTGTGAGACTCTGGCAGGGTCCAAGAGCCCTCCCACATCCTTCTGAAAGTGAGGAAAGCACTACCCAGCTTTAGGAAGGCAGTGTGAGGACAGGGGTGGGGCATGTCAAATGTTGCTGAGGGCCACCAAAAAAGGCCTTGATGGCCGCATGCTGCCCTTGGGCCATGCATTGGATCACCTTGATCTCTCTATTATGAATGCAAAAGAGTAGTCCCCTTCACCAGTTTTATCCTTGTAGGAAACAAATATTTGCCATAATCCTAGGAGCACAGGGAAAGGTGAAGGAAGACACATATTTGATTTTGTGATTGTACTTTACTTGATGGAGTGGGATGGGGGATTTGGGTTCATTGTTATCAGTGAAAACTTTTTCAATAAAATGGTTGGGGGGGGGAAGTCACTATCTTTAGTTATCTCAAGCATGTGCTATTGCAATTCATATCAGACAAAGAGACTCCTGCATGATCACAGCTTTCTCCATTCACTTCAATGTCACAGAGAGCTCTGTGTGTACAACAGAGGTTGCATGTGGACCCATTCCTGAGAATGAAGTGAATGGAAAGGTATTGGTTAAGAGACTGGAACTCTCCAGCCCAAGCATGTTACCAGCATTAGAGCCTTGGGGCCTACCAACTTCAGGGGTCCTGACTTGCAGTTTCGACAAAAAATGTCAGCATCACCAAATCATTAACTCATGTAAGAAGATAAGGAGAACCTTCTGGATGGGGCCAGTGACCCACCTAGTCCAGCATCCTGTTCTCACAGTGGCCAAACAGGTGCTTATGGGAAGTCAAGATGCAGGAACCGAGCACAAGAGTACAGTTCCCTCCTTTGTTTTCTAGCAACTGGTATTCTGAAGTCTAAAGTGAAGGGCAACACCACAATCCTCTTTTTAAACATATGTTTTTAAATATGCCATAAAATCGGGGCCAGATTTAGGTTTGATGAGGCCCTAAGCTACTGAAGGTAATGTGGCCCTTTATATGTCCAGCTGTCCTTTGTCAACAACAAATTGTCACTGTTTTTTGTGTTGAATATATGCTATATGGTAATTTAAGGATCTAATAGGTATCTAAAGCCATTTGCACATGTTGCCATGCAACTAGTCCATGCAGAATGTAGGCACCCTATATATAGAAATGAGCAAACCAGGCTAGGAGGGGCCCATTACTTACATCACAAAAGCCTACACAACACAAAACAAAACACTGTCACTGTATGCAGGTTTATTTTATTTGTTTTTTATCTTATATTTTGGAAATGTACATCCAGGGGGCTCTTTAAATTTTTTTGGGCCCCCCCCAAGAGAGTGGGGCCCTAAGCTATAGCTTGTTTAGCTTATACGTAAATCCGGCACTCATAAAATGCATTCTGATTTAAAATATGGTGGTAATCAAGAATTTCTCTTAGTATGGCTGTGAACCAGATAAAATTAGCTCTGTAAGAGGTGTGTTTGAAAATGCCACATGCACTAAATCAAACAAAAATTAGAGCAAATGAATTTAGCGTGCTAAAAAGGTTTTTCCACTTTAGTAAGTAGATTATAATGAAACGTAGTAAAATATTTCATATAACTGATTAGTATGTTCCCACTTATGTACACTCTTGAAGCAGTGTGAGGTTTTCAAAGCTGGAAAGTAGCCAAAACCAACATTGCGGGGGGGGGGGGAGGGAAGAGGAGAGAGACACGACACACTTTAAAAGGCATAATTTCTGTAGTGGAGTTTTGTAGGGTTTTAAAAAAATAAATAAATCTCAGTTTCTAATGCCTATAAAATGAAAAGCCCCAAATCCAGAAAGGTCAGGTGTAGCACATACAGAAACAGAATGAAACTGTTTTTCTAGAATACTGCACAGGGATGATTACAGTACTTAAAGTATTCCTATGCAAATGCACTAAAGCAGGTGAGCAAGGGAAAGTGAGGAATCAAAGTTATTCTATTTGCAAATGAAATCCATCACTTTCTATCACTTGGAATGCCATTATCCTAAGAAAGAAAGTATGTTTAGCATGTTGTTATGTCTGGGGTGCCACATAAGCCTCCAGGGCATGGCTCATATCACTGCAATTACTTACACGGTTCTGGCATTAAGTAAATATTAAACAGCAGTACTTGCATATGCAATTACTCATTGCCTTTCTACTATTTCCATACAAGCAATATGTGCTTAGACCACCAAAGAAACCTCAAAGAAAGAAGTGAGCATTTTTACTAAGAATTTTGTCTTCCTTTTAATTCATTTATTTGTCACCATCAGTCCTAGATAATTCCCCCCAACACAGGCATGCTTATCGCAGCTCAAGAGTGTGTTCAGTTTCTTAGACTAAATAATAACGTTCTACAGGCTGCTCTTAGTTTTTCTGTTTGCCA